GAGAGAGCCAGGCACTTCCCCAGGTCCCAGGTTTGCTGCTTTCCTCTCACTTCTGATGCCTCCATCCTGATTTAATTAGTCTGTGGTTTAGTCAATCATTAGAATTTGAAAAACTCCCGAGGGGGTTTTAATGTGGGGCCAGCTGCACGGTTGGATGAATATTAGGGTCAGAAGGATCAGTTTGGAAATTTGCATTTAAAGTCTCAGGACGGCTTCAGTGAAGCACTGGGAGAACAAGGGACCATCCCAAGGTCCTATGGGGGGTTCTGTGGTCAGCTCAGCACTCGGGACCTTGGAGGGGCCACCTCACACCAGCTCCTGAAAAATTTTCCTCCCCACCTCTAAGCTTTTGATCCCCACACAAAAAAACCTGGATGGCAGCCTGATTGTGAAGTGCTTGGGCACTTCACTGGCTACTAGCTCAGGATTCCAGAAATCTCCAGAGCAAGTAGAGCTTAAGCTGTCAAAATGGAGAGGTGGTAACCACCCCTGGAGCCTGGGAAGCACAGTCCTGTTACATAAGAGTGTTTGCCTCCTGCTGGGAGGCAGCTGCTAGAAAGCTCAGGGTTCCAGGGAGATGTGGGGATGGTGGCCCTGGCACTGCCACTTCGCAGCTATGCTACCTTGCATTGCTCCTTAGGCCTCTCTGAATCTCAGTTTCCCTGTCTGCAACCTAGGTACACTGGTTCTGGTAGGTTAGTATGCTGAGGAATTAGATTTTTTTAAAAAAGGCAACAGTCCCAAACAGTGCTTGGTGGTACTAGATCAGAGCCCAGTGGGACCACCAAGGGCCCTTGCACTTGGCACAGATGCAAGAGGCCCATGGTTCTCAGCTGGCTCAGGCATCTCAGGCCCAAGGAGCTGGAGCCCTCAGCATCTCCCTGTACCCTACTGAGGCAGCCAGCAGGTACCTTTCTTTCCTCATGTTTGAAGACACCCCTTTTTTTTTTAAAACCAGGAATCAAACTCAGGACCTTGTGCTTGCCAGGCAGGCACTGTGCCATGGAGCTGTATCCCTGGCCCTGCTTATCTCTCTTGTGTCAGCCCTGCAGCTCAGTGACCGTCCCTATGTGCTTGTATGTAGCTAGGGGGACCTATGCTGCCACAGCAGGACTCCCCAGCCTTCCTAGGCTGATCAAGTAGCAGCACTTTAAAAAAAAAAAGCAGCAGCCCTTGATCGTGCTGGCCTCCCTTCTCACCATGTGGGCCCACTCCCAACAGGGCAGCAATTACTGTCTTGGCTATTTTATTTTTAGTCCTCCCTCTGAGAGCCCTGATCAAAGAGACATCAGCACCGCTGCCTCATTGCAACAAGCAGAGAACAAAAGGGTTGGGTGTTTCTAGCCAGGCCGGGGACACAGTCGCTGGATGGGACCATTTGGTGCAGCACTTTCATCTTCCAGATAGTTATGATAACCAAGGCTGTAGAAGACCCAGGACTTCCCCAAGGCTGCCCTAGCACTGGACCAAAACCTGGTTCTCTGGTCCAGATCTGAAGTCAGCCGGTATGGTAGTGCATGCCTGTGAGTTTAGCATTTGGGAGGCTGCAACAAGAGGATTGCTGGAAGTTAGAGGCCAGTGTAGGCACATGGGCTTGGCTGGCGAGCCCGAACTATGTGTTAGGCCAGCCTAAACTACACGTATCATACTGAGACCTTGTCTCAAAAAAACCAGCCAAAAAAGCAAACAAACAGATCTGAGGTCTTCCCTGCTCCCTGTGACTGGAAGGAGTGGGAGTCGGCGCCCACCATGCTCCCCACTAGGCCAGTGCGAAGTACAACACCCAGGCTCCATGGACCAGCTCAGGATCTGAGGAGCAGCTGGGAATCTGCATCTTTGGCACGTGCTTACCTGACCAAATTCTAAAATCGCCACTGTGGACTCTTCCCCTTGGTTCCAAAGGCCAGGTCCATGTGCTGGGACTCTCCTCTCCAATTCTGCACCAAAATTCACCACCCAGAGCTCACAGCCCGAACCTCATTCACCTGGCACACCTACCAGCAGTGCCCCCAGTGAAGAGGACAGAGATGGTATTGTGTCACATGCCCTGGACCCAGGTGGCCTGGGATCAAATTCTGCACCTCCTGTGACCTCAGTGTGTTTCTCTACCATGGCAGCTGCCTTTGTTTCTCCCTGCAGGGTGAGGAAGGAGCCTCCCGCCCTCACACTGTTATGAAGAGAAGAGTTAGTATGAACAGGCATTTGGATTAGTCTCTAGCACACGGTAAGTGCTAGCTAGTGTCAACTTGAGTGCCCATTTTTTAGGCTGAGAAGGTGATGCCTGCTGGGAGGTCCTGCTGCCACTGAATGACAGATTGGCTGACTGTCTACCCTTGTCCCCCACTGCCCCTGCCTGGGTGTGCAGAGCCATCGCCCTCATGCAGGCCAGCTGCCAGCTGTGCTGGGCTGGGATAACCCCTCAGTCTGCTCCCTCCCACCCCCGCACCCCTCCCACCCCGCCTTGGGGTTAGGATAAAGACCCCAGTTCCATCAGCTAGTGAGCAGTCAACAAAAACCACTGTGGCCGCCTGCACAGAGCCAGAGCAGCTCAGCTTCCCTTAGTCCTGAAAAGCCCCTTATGGGGACACAGGGCCACCGGGGATGCTGTCACCCTCAGTGCTGAAAGCCCAACATTTACTATGCTCATATCCATTTACACCCAGGACTTGGTTGCGTTTTGCAGAAGAATTCACTTAATGTCTCTAATTGGAGCTAAGGAGATGTTTTCTAGCGTGGCTATTCTGGTGTCACCGAGGCCACTTCCTTGTGCAGGGAAGAAGAGAGCTCAGGCAGGTGCCCTCCTCACACCACCTCTGTCTCTGCTCCCTGGATTCTGGAAAGGTGCTGCCCCTGGGTCTCCCCTTGCCTGCCTTCACCCCAGTCTTCTGGTTTCTTTCTGTCTGCTGAGTGGTTCCGGCGCTGTGTTGGGTCTAGGACCACTGACCCCCATCCTCAGCCTTGTAACCCCTCTCTCCTCGGGTCACTCTGAACCGAAGCCATTCAAGGCTGTGGAGGGGCTGCGCACAGTGCCCGCCTGCCACCTCTCTCCACCTCACAGCAGCTGCAGAAAGGCAGCTCCATTTCACTCTTTTTCTCTTCTTTCATCCCGCTGTGATAGAATCAGCCTGGCGGTCAGCACAGGCCAGCTCTCGGGGCCCATTCTAATGAAGGTAACTGAAAGCCTGACAGCCAGCACTGGCCCTTTGCAGAGTGGCCGGGGGAGGGCCTGCCTTTGAGGGAGCCTGCCAGCCCTTGTTTGCTCCAACCTGGCATTAGACACAGGCCGGGCCACACAGTCCCAAAGGAGGGGCCCAGGAAGGGGAAGGGGACAGAGAGCAGGTTTATTCAGGGTGAGCTGGGCTGGTCCCTTGCTTTTGGACTCTGTGTTTTCAGGAGCTGGAAAGGCAAACAATAGATTTGGGTCACCAGGGAGCGGGTGGGGGAGGAGATGGTCAGATATAGCAGGAATCTGATGCCAAGTAGCTGGTGCTGAGGATTTAGGACACAGGATTTGGGCACTCCTGATCAGAGAGTCTCCCTCTTTCTCTGTCTCCTAATCTCTGCTGGGAAACTCACACAGCTCCAGCAGACCCAGGCTACCCCACTGTTCCAGGCTTCCTTCCCTGCTTGGAACACCTGTGCAGAGTGGAAGGGGCTTTGGATTTTGTTTTGTTTTGTCTTTTTCCTTTTTATCGGTACCGGGGAACGAACTCACGACTGCCTGCTTGCAAGGCAGGCACTTATGCCGCTGGGCTAAATCCCCAGCCCCGAAAGGGGCTTTGGAGACAGGAAGGCCTGCATCCAAATCCTAGCTCTCAGTGTCCTGCGATGGGTTACTTATTTTTCTGAGCTCACCTTTCTCATCTGTGAAATGGGAAGAATAGTACATGCTCAGGTAGGCTGAGTTTGTGTGAGCCCTGAAGCTCTTACATTGTTTTTAAGCTTACATTGCCTTACTTTGACAAATTTGACTGAATACAAGATCACATGGCCACGCCAGCAGGGCCCCTACTCACATACATGAGGAAGCTCACACTTTGGTGTCTTCATACCAGTAGGATCAGGTACGGCCACGCCCACCTGTGTGGTTGTGAAGGGGAGATGAGCTACATGTGTGGTGTCCAGTGCTGGCTTTCTTTGTTACTGCCTCTCAAGGTCTCATGAGTGTTAGGTGGCTGCAAAGTCACCCAGGTAACCCCAGGTGTCCAGCACCTGGCCCGGTTGTTCATTAGCTCACCTAATTAGCTCACCATTAGCCAACATGTGATGCTCACAATGGGCCAGCTGGTGTTCTGAGCACTAGGGTGCAAGGGCCCCTCCTAAGACTTTTGTCTGGAGGGGGAACAGGAAAATCGGTGAATAAAGGGACAGGCAGTTCCTATGAGAAGCTGAGGGCCTGAGCTATTGCTGCTTCTGGAACCCATGGGCACCTCTTCTGCCCCCTCCATCAAAGTGGCTGTGACTTCCCCAGGGCATCAGAGTCCAAGAACAGTAAGTTTCCCAGACTTTGGAAGCCCCCTGCAGTCTTCATGCCCTGAGGCTGGGTACAGCTGCACACACGTGGCTCCGTGGCTACAAACCCAGCGCTCCCCTGGCTTCCGCCTCTTCCCAGAAGGTGAACCCATGGAGATGGATTCTGGGAGACAAACGTTAGAGCTCAGACAGCAAGTGGAAAAGCAGAAGAGCCTACGTATTGAGTCAAGCCAACCCAGTAACCAGAAAACAAGTTTATCACTGGGGCTCTCTCATGCCTGGCAGAGAGGAATGGATGGTGCCTGGCAGAAAGAAGTAGGTGGACCCAGGTGTGGGAAGCATGGGAAGAATGGGGACAAACACTTCTTAAGCACCTGTTCCATGCCCTGCTCTGCCAAGTGCTGGAGATGTGTTACTGACAATCTGTGGGGTAGAAACTTACATCCCCATTTCACACATGTGAGCCTTGGGTGCCAGATGTGAAGATGGGAACCCCCAATTGTATTACAGCCCAACTGTACCCTCCCCTGGCACTTGAGCTGGCTTGAAAGTAGGTGGCCTTGTCAGGCAGTAAGGTGCCTTGGGTTAGCCCTCAAATGCTGCTTTAAAAAGCAGGAAAGAATCTTCTCACCTGAGGCCAGGTCCCTAAACCCTGGCAGAGCGCTACCTGGGGCCAGGTCAGGCCCAGTGCCTTCGAAGAGCAGAGAGCAGTGTCATACAGTGGAGGCAGAGGTGGGAACGGAAAGGCTGGCAGTCACACTGCTCCTTGAAAGCTGAGTCATGATAATCGTAATAAAGCTTCATTTAGAAAAGAAACATTGCATCATCTTACTTCCTGTGGACTCTTTTTTTAAAAAGTCAAATACATAAAACACGTACAGAGGAGAATAAAGCTGGTTACCAGGGAAAGGTGGAAAAAGCAAGTTAGGGTTAGGGTAAATAAATAGAAAGGACAAGTCTAAAGAGCAAATGTATACTATGAAGACCACAGCTAAAAATATGTGTTGTGTCTGCGGTGCGGGGTGCCAGGAATCAAACCCAGGGCCCTAAGACGGGGCTGTACCACCAAGCCACGCCCCAGCCTGTGAATTCAGGATTTGTGCTAAGTGAGTAGAGGGTAGCTGTTCTGTAGGAGACAATGGTTATTTGTTCCACCGTAGTAACCGCTTGACTATTCATGTCTTGCATACCTTAAATATCCACGGTGAACGTCAGTTAGCTCGAAAGCTTCACTCAGTGGTGCTGCCATGTGCTCCGGAGAAGAAGGTGGGACTGAAAACACGGAAGGTGGCCGTGGTGTACGTCTGGTGGAGACAAGCGCTTTGAAACAAGGCCCAGCAAAGGGCAGAGGGCACTGGCCGGTGTTGTTCCCTCGGGAAGAGAGGGGACAGGTGACTGGAGCAGAGCGTGAGGTCCGTAAAAACAGAGACCTTGAAGGCAGGCAAGCAGGTTGTTAGGTGGTTTTGTGGGAAGAATGGGGCTGTGGCTGAGTGGAGGGCCAGAGCACACAACTGAGGAGGCCAGGAGGGGATTTCCAGAGGGAAGTGACCAGCCCTGTTTTGTGTTTTCGTTTTTGTCTTTTTCCCACACTGGAGATGGAACCCAGGGTGCCAGTATACCATATGCTGGGAAAGCTGCCCTACCTCTGGCCTTATTTTCTCATTTGTTTGTTAGTTTATTTGTCTTTTGCAGTACTGGGAACCTAAGGCCTTTGCACTGAGCTATATCCTTGGCCCTTTTTATTTTGAGACAAGTTCTCCCTAAATTACCTAAACTGGCCTCGAACTTGCCATCCTCCTGCCTCAGCCTCCTGAGTGGCTCTGATTATAGGTGTGTACCACCACCCCAGCTCTCCTACTTGGTATTTTAAAGAGCTCTGTACAGTGCATACATGAAGGCAGCACTGGCTTTAGGGAGGCCTGTCAGGTGGCTGTTCATTGGAGCAGGGAGACAGATTGCAGTGTGGCCTGGGCTGGTGGCAGTTGTGGGTCTGGCAGGACTTGCTGCTGAGTGTGGGGACTCATCTGGGGCTACTCTGAGGCTCACCTGACCTCCTGGCTGAGTGTTGGTACCCTTTGCTGAGGTGGGATGGGTTTTGGGGACTGAGAAAAGAGCAGGTTTGAGGGAAGCTTGCATTCAGGTTGTGGATGTGTTAACACGAGACGCCTCCTAGAAGTGGTCTTCGTGCTGTGATGAGGGTCCTGGCCCCTGCAGTCCCAGCCTCGTTCTCCTCCTGTAGCAAGAAGGACTGGCAGCAGACCCTCCCCGGGATCACAGTCCCTGCTAGAGCATCTCACATTCGGTCCCTGTGAGGATAGTAAGACTTGGTCCCTGGCCGTTTTCAGTACAGCTCCAAACCCTATGGGGTCGGCTGAGGCCCTGCTGTAGGCACCAGTGTAGTGTAATTCTGTGTACCTCCAGGGCCATTGCTGGGTACCCCAGACAGTCTGCTACAAGGCTCAGTAGTCTGGGGCAGAGGGGAGAGGCCCAGGCTGGACATAAGCACGTGATGACAGCAGTGTTTAATGGAACTGAAAGCCACAGGTTAGACAAGACCCACCCTCCCCCCAAGGATGAGAAGAAAAGGGACTGAAGCAGAGGCCAGGGAGGGTGAGAGCCAGCCAGGACCGTGGAGTCATTGCTAGGGACCGAGGGGGAAGGAGGGTGGGTGGATGCCCTAGTGCCAAAGTAAGAACGTGTTAAGAGGAGAGACTCCCTGGGCCAAGCACGCTGGTGATTTTTCAGGTACAAACAATCATTTGTTTCAACTAGTCCTGAATGGACGGTGGTTTTTAATTGTGTTTTGTGACATTGGGGATTGAAGCCAGGGCCTTGTGTGTGCTAGGTCTGTGGTCTGTGCTGTACCCTTGAGCTAAATTTCCAGGCTGCATGGGAGGATCTTTAAAGCTGGGCATAATCAGGAAAGGAATGAACCAGTAGGGACAGAGAAAGGGATAAAGCATAAGGTACTGAAGGGGGACCCCAGGAGCAAAGATCTTTCCAAGGGACACAGTTGAGGGCCCAAATATCAGGGTGCAGTGACGAGCCATGTACTGTAGCAGGTGGGAGGCAGAGTGTATGTGTCATTTAACGACCGCCCCCGCCCTCAACAGCCCTGTCCTGCAGGTATGGGGATCCTCATTACATTACATTAGTCCGTATCTATAAATCTCACCGTCCATAATAAATACTTGCAGTGCTTTTGTGGTCATCTGGAGACATTCTAGAGTGTTGGTAATTTAAGCTTCCCTTTGACAGTGGAGGTGGACAGGCTACCTTTTCATTTCAGCTCTCATACTCTAAATGAGTATCCTCTTTGGGTTCATTGAATGCCATGTTTTCTTCATTTTTGATCTTTTTTATAGGTGATTTCGCCCTTTTTTTTTTTAGAGTATCGGGAATTGAAACCAGAGCTTCCCCACTGCACTACATTTTCAGTGCCCTCACCCCCAGTTTTTGAGAAAGTCACTGAATTCCCCAAATGAGGTTTGAACTTGCAATACTCCTGCCTCAGCTTCCTGAGTCACTGGCATTATTGAATATGCATCACCATTCCCAGATAGTGATTTCACTACTTAAAATGGTCCCTAAGTGCTGTCTGGGTTCCTAAGGGCAGGATGGCTACCATGTGTGTTATGAAGAACGCGTCAAAGAAGCCTCCGCAGGTGCGGATGAGTTTCAGCTCTGCGCTCATGCATTCCACGGTAGTGAATCTGTATCGGATTTTTGAAAGGCATCTTTACACAGAGAGCGGCATAAAGCAAGGTTATGTATCCACTGCATGGCGAGTCAAGCTGGGTGTTTCTCTTAGGAGTAGTTGTGCAGTGATGCTGATTATTCAGCCTTGGTGGCAACTTTGTAGAACATTGATCCTGCAAATGAGGAAAGCAGATCTTACTGTTATTAACACTCTGGGCCACTGAGAAGCCAGGCTGGGAGATACTGGCAAGTGCTAGGTGATGCAGACAGGGTGATCTGGGACTACAGCCTCTGCTGTTGGGGCACCAGGGGGTCTCACACCCATGAATGTGGCCTTGTGGTCTAGTGGGGATGGCAGGGGACTTGGCCTGAAAGGAACACTTTTTAGGGCACCCAGGGCAGCCTCTGCTCCCCAGCCCAGGCCTCCTATGGGCTGGGCCCTCTTTAGTTTCCACCTAAACACAGCAGTTCCTTCAGGCTTCTGGGCGGTAGCCGGGCTGTGGTTTCCCCACGGGGGAGGAACACTGGCTCAGTGTCAGTGAATGCCAGGCGCCTTCAGTTTCCCTTTGCTGAGCCCAGCCCTGAAAGCGGAGCCACAAAGGAGGTGTGTGTGCCTGAGACAGGGCGGACCCAGTGTCCCCACCGGCGTCTCCAGCACTGCTGTGGCCTCTGTTTATTCAGGAATGGCTCTGCAGGCTGGAGTGAGTAAGCCTCCCCAGGCCTGGCTGCAAGACTGCCATCTCCTGGGCCCACCGCCTTCTCTCCAGGGAAGAGCCTGCAGCCCTGCGGAGCCCTGGGTGGGGTGGTTTGTTTGTTGTGGGCTTGGGGTGTTTTTCATTCCAGCCTCACTAAGATAATTCGGGCGATAACTGTCATGGACTGTGTTTGCTTCGGTATGTGTCCTTTGACTGGATGAAGGATGTAAAATTGTCTCTGCCCGTAACTATCCTTGAGGGCAGGGGATTTAGCTCAGCCGCACAGTGCAAGGTCCTAAGTTTGATTCCTGGTACCAAAATCAATAGACATAACCTCCCTTGAGTAAGAGTGGAGAATAAGTCTCTGAGATAAGGGACCAGCACCCTGGCGTGTGCCTTGGGGGAGACAAGAGCCTCCTCATGGGCTGAGAGCTAGGAGGCAGGGAGCCTATGCAGCCATGAGGAGGGACAGTGTCCATGACTGGTGAAGTCTCAGGGAACCTCCTGGGCACACTTGCTGAGGAGCTGCTCTGGGGAGGATTTGGGGGTGACCCCACAGACAGCATAGTCTGTGGGTCCAGCTGAAGGGCCATGGAGGGAGCTGGGGGGGGGCCCAAAGCTCTCCTACCCATTGTACACAGATAGGACCCCCACAGCTGGGGAGATGCAAGGCTATTGGGGCAGAGTGAGGACCCTCTCTTGGGCACTGGGTCTCTGAGGAACACGTAGCTTTGATACCTGCATGTTCACTGATCCCTGCAGGGGACCTGGCGCCAGCACTGTCCTGGGCTCAGGAGGGATGTGGGAACAAGTGGAACAGCAGCTGCTCCCGGGACACAGCTGCTTGTCCTTAGTGGCAGTGTGGTGCCCGGCCTGTGCATCCCACCCAGTGAATGTCATTTGAGTAATAAGGACACCAGAGAGTGAATGAGGGAGGAGTGGGTTTCACCAGGGTCACTTTGGGAACAGCACCTGAGCAACCTGAGCCTCTGTTTTCTGGTTAGGTACAGTTTTGTGTTGCTGGGTTTCCTCAAGCAGCCTCTCTGAGCCTCACTGTCTTGTCTGCACAGCAGGAGTGATGTCTGCTCCACAGGGGTGTGGGGCATGAGTCTGCATCTCGGGCTATGTGGGCATTGGTGTCATATCTTTAGTATTTGTGCTGCTGAAGCCAGCACTGCTGCTGTATCACTGAAACCAAAGTGATAACACCCCCTGGTGCACGGGAGTCTGGCACATGGTCTCCCCAAGCATGCTCCTCCCGGAACACCAGAACACCAAGTTTTCCCGTTGCTAAATGTCAAGTGAGGAGGTTTTGTTCAAGCCTGCCTTTACACAGCTGCCAGGTTTCTCTGCAGCCAAGGATCGCAGTGATGTTGCCAAGGGACACCTCGAATCACCTGCTGATTTGCCCACAGGACCCTTTCTTGCTCTCGGAGGTGGGAGTTCCCCAGAACATTTCTGGAAGCAACAAAGCCCGTTCTCCATCCCTGAAACCTCGGCCTCACTCCACTCACCTTCTCTGGTGGCACCAAGGGAGGTGCCACCATCTGTCTCATGGGCCTGGAACTGGGTACAAGGCAGCTCCTGAGTAGTAGTACCCTGCCCCATCCTCACCCAGGTGGTGGAGCTGAAGGCTGTCCTTGGGTCCGTCCACAGGGCCAGGCTCTCCCCAGATGATGTCACAAGCAGACGTGGGTGAACCCCAGCGGCCTGGCTTCAGCTGCTACTGCTCAGAACCTGCCAAACTGGACAGAGGTGCCTGCTCCCCAGGGATACTGGAGAGCAGAGGGAGGCCCTTAATGGTCCACTTTTTTTTTTCTTTTTCTTCTGAGACAAGGTCTCACTAAGCAATTCAGGCTGACCTTAAAACTCACCATGTAGCAGAGGCTGGCCTCAAACTCATGGTGATCCTCCTGTCTCAGCCTCCCAAATTCTGTGATTACAGGCAGGGGGAGGAGAATGATTTATGTGGTAGTGAGTATTCAGTCCCCTGATGGTGCTAAGAGCAGAGGAATGGGAAGTCTCCCCTCGGTTTGCCCTCCCCAAGGCCAGGTCAAAAGGAGACCTTCTCTACTTCCCCTTCCCACCTCCCCCTCTTTTAGGATGGTTACATGAGTCAGAGATGTTTGTTGAAGAGGAAATGGGTTTTCTCACCGTTTCACCCCTCCAGTTGGGTTTGAATGAGTAAGAAAACCCATCATTCCATGTGCACCGGTTGACAGAAATAGAGCTGGGCATCTCTGAAGACTTAGCCTGGGTTCCAGACTCAATAAAACCTGCTGAGGCTGCTGGGGCTATAACCCCAGCCCTCAGGAGGCTGAGGCAGGCGGGCTGGTTGAGGAAGCAGAGGTCATCTGTGACATGTCCCTGCTGAAGAAGAGGGGCCCTTGCATGCAGCTTTTTCTGAGTAGCAGCTTGGGGTCGGGAATCTCCTGCTGTCTCCTAAACCACTGCTTAGGGCCTCTGACACTGAAATTTAAGAGGCTGCTTTTATCTGACCTTGCCAACCATCATCACGGGGTACAGTATCCTCCTATCAACGACAGCCGAGACTGTTTCAACACATCAGAAGACTGAATCATAGTAACCTCCTTCTTGAAGAAATTATTCTTACATTCTCCAGAAGAATTCCCCTCTCCCTTTCTCTGAGACAGGATCTCACATAAACTATTAAATTGCCCGGGCTGGGTTCAAATTTACCATCCTCCTACCTCAGCCTCCCAGAGTGCTGCAGTTATGGGTATACACCACCCATCTGGCTGGGTTTCCATTTCTTTTTTCTTTTCTTTTCTTTTTTTTTTTTTTTTTTTTTTTTTTTGTCTTTTTCCTTTTTTATTGGTACCGGGGGTCGAACTCACGACCACCTGCTCGCAAGGCAGGTGCTTGTGCCACTGAGTTAAATCCCCTAAATTCTCATCTCTGCCCCTCTGAGCTCTGTGCCATAAAGACAATTTGTAGTGGCTACGTCTGTTAAGCACCTGCTGTGTACTAGGCTCTAAGTATTGTATTGTCTAATTATCTTGCTCTTCACAATAATCCTAAACATATGCTACTATTCTCTCCAGTTTACAGATGAGGAAACTGAGGCACTGGAAATTAAATTTGCCTGCAGTCATTTAGCTGCTAAGCAGTGAGGCCAAGACTATGCTCATGCAGAGAACCAGAGTCCCACTGGGGCTTGTTAATGTTGCTGGAGTAACTAGGCGCTATTTATTGAGTGCCTACACCAAGTAGACATTGTACTAGACACTTATGCCTTATTTCCGTTTTATAGAGGTTGAAACTGAGACCCCAAAACATTCAATGACTTCCTTGCTGGGCAGGGCAGCACATGCCTACAATTCCTGCACTGGGGAGGCTGAGGGAGGAGGATTATTTCAAGTTCAAGGACTAGTCAGTTGAAGGCCAGCCTGGACTACATACTGAAACTATTTGGGGGGGGGTATCGAAAAAGACTTCCTTTTGGTAAGTAAAACTGGGCAGCCCTCAAACCCACCCAGAAGTATTCATTGTCCATGGTCTTCCTCTTTGGCACTGCTTTTCAGGACAAATGCCAACCCTGCTACCTGTGGGTTAAATAAAGAAGGGTCTGCTAGAACGAACCCCTTCCACTGCCCTCTTGTAAAGCCAGTCTCCTCTTGCCATTCTGCCATTCTCCGAGGCTCCTGGGGCTTGAGGGGCTTGGCAGGTCTGACTTGCATATTCATCTCCATGGTGAGACAGCCCCCTCTCCCAAACAATGAAAGCTCAAGGATCTGCTACTTTCACCATGGGTGATCCTGCCATGTGACCTGCTTTCTGGAGCCCAGTCATCCTTAGGGGCAACGTAGGATAAGTTTTTCAAGAGAGGAAGGGAAACCAAGCTAGATTGCTTGCACTCAGCCACACCCTAAACTCCACAGGAAGCTGTCGGTCCCAGAGTGGAGCCAGGAAGGTACCTGGAGCCTGCTGTGGGATCCAGGACACATCTGAGTGTCACACCTCTAATGAAAACCAAAAACTGGGTGCCATACGTATGAGGGTGCACAGCATCCCTGGAATGTGCTGTCCCTGCCTTACAGATGAATAAAGTAGGTGTCACAGAGTTGACGTAATCTGTACTGAGTAGGATTCAAAGGCAGGCCTGCCTTACTCCCAAGCCAGAGTTCTTCAGGATGCACTACTCTAACTCCCGCATGGGAGGGACTGTGGGGTGGACACCAACAAGTCCGAGAATAGGCTGAGGCTCTGCATACAGATCCAAAGGTCAGCTCAGAAACTGCAGGCTGAGTTCCGAGGAGTTGTTTCCACCTCATGTCAACTGCTGCAGCCTCCCTTCCCAGGCAGTCTTTGGCTGGATGCCCCTCTTGCCAAGGCTGTGCCAAGCAGGTTTAGGCTCTAATGAGCTTGTGAACTGCCTTGCCCTGGTAAATGGGGGAGCCGGGGACTTATTTGCCTGAGAAACGCTGGGGAGAAGGAAGTTGAGAGCAGGAAGTGGGCAGAGAAGCTTGTGTGTCTCTGTGTGTATAGGGGTGCTGGACCAGAGCACACAGGTGCCCAGCTGATCCTGCCTGTGCCACTGTGCTGGAACACGGACGACTCAGGAAAGGCACAGGTGGCCTGGAGCCAGTCAGTCAGGAGAACAATCTGCTTGCTCCCCTAAATTACATAATGCAACATGGAGTCAAAAAGAAACCATATTTGTAGTATGAGCTGCTCTGTATTAATCGCATCATTTTTGTCTTTAGGTGTTTTAACCCCGAGCATGATACAGAGTTATGAGGGGCCGCATTTCTGATGTAAATTAGATTTACTGCTATTCTACGGAAAGAGGTCCTCCTCTTTTTGTCTGGTGGTTTGATTCTTGTTGCCGCTCGATTCTTTGCACTACTCAGCTGGTTTTACAGATAGCTGTCCCTTTACACCAAACGACAGGAAACATTGTGGGCAGGAATCCGGATAAAAGTCAATAGGAGCCATCAGACTCGGGCTGGCGGCGGTCTGGCCGGTCCTAGTTGGGGGTCCAGGAGCCGAGTCCGAAAGCCGGGAGCGTTGGCCGCAATCTCGCACAGCGGTGGCGGCCGGGTGTGCGTGGCACGAACGAGCACGCACAGCCTCGGCCTCCGGGAATCCCCGGCCCAGCTCACTTCGCGGCGCGGGCTCGGGCGGGCCCAGGCGAGCTCCACCCACTGACCCCAGCCCCACGGCCATTGGCTGACGCCCCGCACCTGCCCCTACCTTGAGTGGGCGAGGCTACCTGGGCCCCGCCCCCCGGCTCGGGTTCTCCGCCGCTCTTCCCGCGCCTCCCGGCCTGAGGCCCCGCCCCCCGCGTCCCCGAGCCCGGGCTCCTCGTGATGTCAGCGCCGCTTTGATACAAAGAGCCCCTTCGGCCCACGCGGGTCTCCCGGCAACCGGGCGGGCGGGGCCGGGGCCCCCTTCGGCGCCCATCGGAGCGAGCGGCCGCGCGCCGCCGCCGAGCAGTTGCTCCCGTGCACTCCGCCGCGGGTCACCGTGTCGCTGCCGCCGTCCGGCTGCCCCGCACCCGGCGTCTCGTCCCCGCCGCGGACCCACGGGCGGCCAGACGGGGATGCACACCCCGCCGGCGTCCGGAATCCTGGTAAGTGCGGCCGCGGTGCGCCGGGGTTCGGGAAGTTGACTGCTCCCGGGCCGCGCCTCCCGGGAGGTCGGGTCACCTGAACCGGCCGGGTCAGCGGCCGAAGAGCGGCGCTGTCCCTGCCGCCCGCCCCGGGCGCCAGGAGGGGTGGCCAGTCGAGAAAGTGTCTTGGGGAGCCCGGAGGCTGGGAAGAGGGCTCGTCGCCTGGACACTCCATCCCGCGCCTCCTGCCCCCCGAGCCTGGCGTTGTCCCCCGCGCGCCTCCGCCGGGCCTCAAGGAGCTGTGCACTGCGAAGTTTTCCGTAACCCTCGGCGGCTGCACCGACCAGGTTTCCTGGTTTTTCTCTTTCCTCCGGGAGCTCTGCGGGTTGAGGAGAGAGCTAGCTCAGCCCGGGGTATGGGTCGGGGCCCTGGTTTATCTCGGGGAGATGCTGCTACGGCTGGGCTGGCGGTAGGCACAGGCTCCCAGCCCTTCATCCTTCAGCCCCGAGTGGACCACACTCGTCTTTGTAGTAGTTGTTTACACAACCCCATCTCTGCCGGGACAAGTGTCTCTGCGGACCTGGACTGTGGAATCTGCTTGGGGAGCCTTGGCTCACACAGCCCTGGACCAGGCTCTTTCCCATTCTGGCAAACCTGGCTCCGTCTCCATTTCTGCTTCTCTTTGCTCCTGCTCTTCTGGAGCAAGGCTAGAAATCACTCATCCCTTCACCCCGAGAAGATGTCAGTTTTTATTGACTGACTCATTTACGGGCCTTCTACTCCAGGAATTTCGAGGAGTCTGGGTTCTTGTTTCTACCCACAGGCTGTTTGTGGCAGACCCCTGGCTGATTCCTGGTGACTCACCACACCTCTGCCCTGTCTCCCCAGAACAGGAGGTAGGTGGGCTCTTGGGGTCCTGGCTGTGGCTCAAGGAAGCAGTGGGGCAGGCACATCCCCACGGGGCGGCCCTAGGCCCCTCTTCAGGTGGAAGATAGCCAGGATGGGGAGAAAGAATCTTGGAGCAGGGGCTATGAATGCGGTGGACCCGCTTCTGCAATAGATATCATTGCCACCCAGCCCCAGTTTCCTCCAGTGCTGGCGCCAGGGCTCTGGCCCACAGCTTGTCCTGTCAATTGGCATTCATATCTAGGGAATATTATATGTGGGACACTTCCCTTCCCTTACGTGTCTGCAGGCCCCAGGGTTCCTTGAATACTTACTATAATCTAGTCCTGCCTGGTTTCCTCTAAGGTTGGACTGGTTGATCTGGGCTGTTTTGAGCTCCATTGTGGCTTTACTATGGAGTGTGTGACCTGCATGAGTGAAGTTAGTGAAGACCACAGAATGAGCCCCTAGGTGGCACACCTTGGACAAGTGCTTAGCAGAAAACAGCTTTGGAATGTTTTCGACCCTAGGCTTTAGGAGAAAGGGGTGGGGTAGGTTACTAAGGCTAGCCAGAGAGATAAGGCTGGGCTGAAGGGAGAGATGACCAGCTAGCTGGTAGAGAAGCGTGACCTTTGTCCCAAGGGAGATCTCGCAAACAGGACAGACTGCCTGGAGCCTGTCCTTGGAAAGGACTTTAGACAAGTGAGGGAAGAAAGGCAGTAGGAGTTAGGGGGTAGGGAGTTCTAAGCTATCTCCTTTGAGGTTCCAGGCTGGGGAGGGTCCTTTCTCCCTGTGCGCTTCCCTAAAAGCATCTTCATTGCCTCCCAGCCATATCCCCTCCATAGGACCTTTTTTTTCCTTTGGTACTTGGGATTGAACCCAGGAAGCATTCTGGACTATGTCCCAAACCCTTTTATATTTTTTACTTCAATATAGTATTTCGTTAAATTGGCTGAGGCTGGGCTGTGACTTTTCTATTCTCTTGCC